CACGATATAGTAAATATATGTATGAACACTCAGTTTTTACGTGGAAACCCGAAAGGGAGAAAACCACGGGACTTTTTAGGCTAATGTCCAAGCCCTCTCTTTCTCATTAGGACTCTCCTCACCATTATATTGTACAATTTGAGCTCCATTTATGGAGTATTGAGCTAGCTAGCTAGAGAGAAGTAAGGAAGAAGAGCTAAGGAAGGGATCCCCAAAACATGGAGGGAAGCCTCATATTTATAGGGGAAAGGGGAAGGGTGCTCTCCACCCTAATGGGCCAAATACGGGCCTACTGGGCCAAGGTGGGCCGGATGGCCAGAATGGGCCGAAACGGGCCTTACCGGACGGGCTCCGTACTATATCAAGTCTTGGGCTCCTGAACAGTAACGGACCGGGATAATATATCCCAACACTACATTTTCATATAAATCCTCGCCAATGTCATCGTTCCGGGCAGGTCTCTTCCTTCTGGTGATGACGTCACGCTCGAAGTAAAAAGACGAGAACGTTGAGATTTCTTGTTGAAGATACGCTTGACAAATTGAAGCCTCAACGTGTGCCTGGTTGGTCACTTTCTTTTTCAGCTCTCCTAGAAATCTGCAATAATGCAATAATACACATGTTAACAGTTATTGTGAAATAAATATTTTTTTTTTAAATGAAATTGTGACTAACCTTTCAAATCTGTACATCCACCGATAGAAGACGGGCCCAGCAGTCAAAGCCTCATACGGAAGATGTATTATGAGATGTTCCATTGTATCGAAAAACGATGGTGACATTATTTTTTCCAGATTACACATCAGAATGGGAACAGACTCTTGTAGTCTCCGGAGGGATGCCGCATCCAAAACGCTGGAACATATCGATTGAAACAACAAACTGATTTCAGTAATGCAGGACCATACGTGTTCAGGGAGCATCTCTTTTAGTGCAATTGGTAGAAGTCTTTGCATTATTACATGAGCATCGTGAGTTTTCATGCTCGCCGTCGTGGTAAGTTTGTTCATGTCTACGCATCTAGACAGGTTGGAGCAGTAGCCATCTGGAAACTTCTGAGACGCAAGCCATTTTAATATTGCTGCCTTTTGTGGTTCTGTGACCTGGTAGACTGCTTTTGGAACTTCCTTGCCCTGATATTCTAGATCAACAGAAAGTTCGGGTCTATCACACCAAATAGTCATATCTTTCCTAGCTGCAAGACCGTCTTTAGTTTTGCCTTTCAAATCCATCACTGTGTTAAATATATTGTCAAAGACGTTCTTCTCAGTGTGCATGACATCTAAATTGTGACGGATGAGAAGGTCTTTCCAATAAGGCAACTCCCAGAATATGCTCCTCTTTGTCCACTTATGGGTATCACAATACCCATATGGCTCTTGGTTTGGCTCTTCCATAGCCGTAGGAAAACGTCGAACCCGGTTATAAATTTCTTCACCGGTCAATCTCGGGGGTGGGCTCTCTCGTACCGCTCTGCCTCTAATGAAAGACTGCTTGTCCTTTCGATATCGGTGCCTTTCCGGGAGAAACTTGCGGTGACAATCAAAGTAACTTCCTTTTTTGCTGTAACTGAGCCAGTTGGCACCTGATTTCTCCATGCATATCGGACATCCCATCAGACCGTGTGTGCTCCATCCCGAAAGCATGCCATAGGCAGGGAAGTCACTAATGGTCCAAATGATGGCAGCTTTCATGATAAACATTTTATCTGATGAAACATCATAAGTTGGTGTCCCAACGGCCCACAGTTCTTTCATCTCCTCAGTAAGGGGTTGAAGATAAATGTCTATCTTTCGCCCAGGATCCTTGGAACCCGGACAAATTAAAGACAAAAAGATGAAATGACTTTTCATGCACATGTCGGGAGGGAGATTGTAAGGAGTTAACATGACCGGCCAACATGAATAGTTCTTGCCAAACCTGCCAAAAGGAGCAAATCCATCTGAGCACAATCCCAGCCGCACATTTCGTGGCTCCATAGCAAACTGAGGATGACAGCGGTCAAAGTGTCTCCAGGCTTCACAGTCCGAAGGGTGAGCCATCATACCCTCGTTGGTTTCGTGCTCAACATGCCATGTCATGTGTTTCGCAGTAGCAGTCGAAGCGTACATCCTTTGCAGTCGAGGAGCTATTGGGAGGTAATACAGTTTAGACAGTGCAGACCTATGTCGTGGTTTCTTTTTACCTTGCCGAACAGGTTTGTATCTGTCTCCACCACAGAACTTGCAGAACTCAAGTGCCTCATCCTCCTTCCAGAACAACATACATCCTTCCGGGCACGCATCAATTTCAACACAAGGTAGCCCCAACTTAGACATTAACTGCTTCATGTGGTAATATGAATCGGGAAGGGTATGATCTCGCGGTAGCATCCCTCCTACTGACGGCAAGACTCTATTCATGCAAGTTTCAGGGAGACTGTATTCGGCTTTTATGTTCATGAACTCAGTAACAGCGGATAGCTAAGAGTATCCCTCACAATCAGCATACAGAGGTTGGTCGGCAGCTTTTAGAACATCCTGAAATCTCTCAGCCAAACCTTCATCCACATAAGGTTGATAAAATGTCGGATTTTCATCCGCATCTGGTTGATACGAGGTTGAGGCTTCAGGGTGGTCGTTAGGTGGTTGTGGGGGGTTCAACTGAGACGGTACACCGTATGCGTCATATACCATTTGTTGGTCCCACCTCATTTCAGCACGGTCTCCCCACGCACTCATCTCTGGAGGGACGTAACGAGACGAACCTACCGTTTGTGGTATAACAGATGGATCCAAAGGTTCGCCGTGAGAAGTCCAATTATAATAATTGGGAACAAAACCGACCGCGTACAAATCATACCCAACTTCGTGTGGGTCTTTAAATTTGAGATTTTTACACTTTGAACATGGACATCTTATTTTATCACCACTCATATAAGCCGGATGTTCAAGTGCAAATTCAATAAATTCCCCGACTCCCTCGAGAAAATTTGATTGCATTCCGTACAATACCGCATCTTTATCATACATCCAACTTCTATTTTGTTTATACATTATGCCTGAATATTATAATAAAAAATTATATGAAATGCAATGCACACAATTTTAAGTAATTTATTTCACTAAATATAATCAACTAATTTTCACTAAATTAAATGAAATGCACAGAATTCACAACAATAATGCACAAAATATACGTCCCCTTATGCACAATAATGCACATAATTTCACTAAATTAAACATACGTTTAATTAAATTTAACTAATTCATTTAGTTAAATTTAACTAAATTTAACTACTTAATTCCGTCCCCTTTTAGTGCATCACTACGTATAAACCTACGTTTAGCTAACTAATTTAACTTAATTAACACATCAATAGCTACGTTCAAACTTAACCTACGTTTAGCAAACGAATTTGAATTAAATTATTTTTGTAAACCTACGTTTAAACCTACAATAAATTATTAAGTTAATGACATTTAATCTTATTAGTAATACACAATTAACAATTCACTAAATTAAATAATATGACCAAATTCAACCCAATAATTTGAATATGTATATAAAGTCATTTGAATTAATAAGCAATACACAATTCACAATAACAATTCACAATTCACTTAATTAACACATTACTAACGTACGTTATTTGAACTAATTTCACTTAACATAAACATCATTACGTTTTAAACTACATTTAGCTAACTAATTTTAAATAAATTATTTTATAAACCTAAAAGTTTAACTAATTCTAATTTATGACATTACTACGCTTATAGTTAAAACATGTTGTTAATTAATTAACAACCTCACTAATTTAATAGTTTTAATAATTTAAATTGAACCAACTAAGTCTAAATAAAAATTATAATTCAAATAACATACTTTATCTGCATAAACAGGGAAAATGATAGAAGATAGACTACATCCTTCGATCTTTCAAACGGATACTGTATATACTGGGAATGAATTGGTGTGGTTCTGCTGAATGAGCTGCTCCTGCATATATAAAAAATTTAGTCACGGACTTAGTCACGGATTTGTCCGTCACTAAGCAAAACCGTGTCCAATACGCGTCCAAAACGTGTTAATGACGTGTAAATGACGTGTTAATCAAAGTAGTCACGAAACTAGTCACGGACACGGCCGTGACTAAAGTTATCCGTACATAATCCCGTTGCGAATTAAGTTAAGGGAGGTGGAAAAATTAAATTTTAATCATAGTCACGGGTATAGTCACGGATGTGGCCGTGACTAAGTCGTCGGAATCAAATATACTTCGCCGGAAACGGAAACGGGCCTATCGGAGGACTTAAGTCACGGGTCAAGACCGTGACTAATTTTAGTCACGGCCATAGTCACGGTCCAGACCGTGACTATTTTTTTTTTTGAATTTCCGTGACTAGTCCGTGACTAGTCCGTGACTAAACTAGTCACGGACCAAATCCGTGACTAAAATCCGTGACTATAACGCTGTTTTTTTGTAGTGTCACTAAGCACGTAACGTTTAATTTCATGCGCTGAATTGTGTAATAATAAGAAAAAGTAAGATGAAAGTTATTTGTCTGACTGCATTGGCTAAAATTAGTGTAGTGGATCATTTTAACTATTTTTTTCATATAATGTTTTCTTTATTTTGTTAATAAAATATATTTTAAATATATTTCTTTCATAAATCAATAGAATCGACCAATCCAGTCACTTAAGCTAAAACTTCATAAATTTCAACAGAATCAATCAATACAACCGATTTGGGTATTACCAAACAGACTCTTAGACTAAGAGTATAAAAGAAGCTATTAGATGAATTTAGAAGGTAAGTTTGAGTTTGTTCACATGATAGAGTTAATTAAATGTGTGTGTACGTAAATGCAGTGGATAATGGATATGGTACTATATTGGTTTAAAAATAGTCTACCACGTGAAAACCTATACCAATGTACCATGTGAAATTAAAAAAAAAAAAACTTAATGTACTGTACTACAATAAATAAATACTCCCTACAAAATTAAACATTACATACGCACCAATTACCAACCAAATTTGTGTCTCAAACATTATAAAGTACAATCAGCGCCACACACAAAACACATCTCCTGCCGCCCGGACATCCCCTCCTCAGGTTTCCTTCTCTTTATTTTTGTTCTGAAATATATACTTGGTTTTTTCATTACCGATGGAGTTCGATTTTTTGGTCTTTGGTTTTTAATTTGTGATCTGTGTTCGAATATATTCATTTTTTTAAAATAAAAACTTTGTCAATTCAACTCGAATTGGTTTGTTTATATTTTGTTAATCTATTAGACTATTAGCACCTTAGGCTTCTGTAAATATTAATCTTTTGTTACGTAGTCTGTCAATTTTGAGCCTAACCCCCACAGGCCGGCCAACATAGGTGTGCTAGCTCGTGGAAGAATAAAAGATCCTTCAACCGATCAACCAACATAAATGATCGAGTGTGCTAATTAATCAATACATACTTGTATTATCAAAGAAAAATTAATTCGGCCTTCTTAATGGTCATTTGAATTCACAATATTTTTAATTGGACTCAAATTTTAAGTCCAATTAAAATTTGAATAGTGTATGTATGTATAGTGTATGTATGTTTTATAACTGTTGAAGTCTGGTCTGACTTCTTTTTGATCTGGTTTAATCTATTTGTTGCTATACTACTACTATTACTCCAAGTCTCCACATTGACTCCACATTGACTCCGAAGTACGTATATAGTGAATGACACCAAATCTAATACTACGTACGTAGTAATGACTAATGAGTTCTGATTTGACAAAAATGTGACTAATAAGTCATCTCAACATGAGAGACAGATCAGATCTATTAGGAGGAAAGAGGCTCTAATATGAACCCCAACACTTGGCATAACTCCTCTTTCACATCAAATCGGGAAGCGTAACTCACTTGGTAGAAAGGGGGTGTCATTAGGGAGAAGTCTCTGGTTCAGTTCCAAGCAGTGATTTATGATGAAACATCACTCTCTTTTCATCAGAGTTTTAGATCAAAGTTCAACTAACATCCCTCCAGTTAACTGTCCGGTCGGTTCTGGGGGCCTCAAGGATGCGGTGTCCTTTTTTCTTCTTCTTCACATCACACGCCTATCATTCCCCTTCTTCACATCACACCACGGTGCCACAACGACCTTAGATTCTTCCCCCTTACGAGTCTATACACACTTACACAGTTTTATAAAGTGTCAACGTCAGTTGCCGCGGGCTGCTTAATTCGAGATGATGATGCTAGGCTTAAAGCAATATGTGTGTGTATCATATAATACCTCTGTCCTAAAAAGATATATTGAGCATATTGACTTTTCTTGAAATTCTAGACAATGATTTTAATTATTATATTTTTGTGTGATTTTTATATTTTATATTTTTATGAAAGAATTTTTAATAAAGAACATGTTCATATAATTTTTCATATTTTAAAAATTTTGTATTAAAAGTTGTGATTGGTCAAACTTGATCAATATTTAAAAATTTGACAAATCCTTACAAGAAGGAATATATAACATGAATGTTAAACTTACCTTTGAGGTGTAGGTTGAGCGACCCATCCAATTGAATACGGAGTAACATAATGGAAGAGGCTGCCGCCATCAGTTCTTCTCACTCGTTAAAAAGGTACTCCCTCCGGCCCTAAATTTTTTTCCCATTGTACAAATGATTCGGGGATTAAGATAGTGAGTATTGTATGGTGGAGAGTTGTACATAGGAGAGAAAAATTTGTACGAATGGTTGTGAACCATAAATTATTTTGAAACGTCCAAAAAGAAAAGTTGGAAGTATTTTTGTCAATAGAGGGAGTACAAGACTACAAGCTAGCTAGCGCGCATCATCATCTTCAATCCATGAATTGAGCAGTATTCACTATTACCTACATCCCATTAACATTGGAAAAAATGATACAATCTTAATGAAATTTCCCGAAAATGTAAAATGTGATAATCTTCGCGGGACGAAACGATTCCATGTAAAATGATACAATCAGCTAGCTTTTATTTATATACTGGTATTCTGCCTGTGCGATGCACGAGAGAATAAAATTTGTAAATTAAGGATAAATTTATTGATATAAACCGTTTTCATATAAACACACAATTTTGTCAAATGTATCATGAGGATGAAATGTTTTACACTTTTTATGGCCTTAAGGTTCTTAGGGTCTCAAAGGTCTAAAAATACCATGACAATATTCTTACGCTTTTTGTGGCCTTAAATTTCTTAGTCCTAGTGTCTCATCTTAATATTACAATTTTTTTATATACTTAATCCATATGAATATAGAAATATTTGTCGATCAAAACCTCTTGATTGTATTTGAGAATTAGAATTTCATTGGTGTTATAGGTAGAAGCTCTTTTACCGAATTTCTTGATGTCTGATAAGGAAGCTAAGTGACGACTTGGGATGAAGATACAATAATATCACACCTAAAACATAAAACGAGTAATTAACCACACATTGCATAGTAGGTTTTATTTTCAATATATATAAGGGAAAATGTGGTCATTCGAAATAATTTGCAACATTGTATATGATATTTTAAATTAGGGGAAATGTGCAAATATACCCCTGAAATATATGTAGAGCTGCAAATATATCCTTAAACTTAAAAAAGGTGCAAAAGTACCCCAAATATTCCTATAAAGGAGTAAATTTACCCTTGTTAACTTTCAATAAATAAAATAAATTTTTAAATAAGCAAAAATAAATTATAAATTTAAATTTTGAAATTTGAACAATAAAAAAATTTAGAGAGTTAAAAATAAAGATTTGTTTTTATGTTAAAATATTAACTATTTAATTTTTAAATGGAAAATTATTATACTTCCCTTATAAATGAAGCACTTCAAATTCATAAATATTAATTATAGTCTAGTTGTGAAATTTTGATCACATCGTTACATTTTTTTGAAATAACATTCATACAAAATTCACTATGTGGTTAAACTTAATCAAATCAAATGTACTATTTTGTAATCTTGGATTATTTATCATCATACAAAAATATTAACTTATAATATAATAAGTTAATATTATAATTATGATTATAGTTATAGCTAATTACAATAAAAGGAAAATTTGAGTTTTCACTCTATGTTTTGGCTGATATTTGACTTTGTATCCCATTTTTAAAACTATTAATGTGTGTACCCCATAAGCCCAAAAATTGTGAAGGAGTGAGGTGCTAAGTGAAATGATTTTATAGTGAATTTGAGTGCATACATTAATGATTTTGAAAATAGAGCCCAAAGTCAAATATCAGTCAAATATTACCGAAAATATAGGGTGCAAAGTCAAACTCTCTCTAATAATAATAATAATAATAATTTAATAATAATAAACACTCAATCAGATTAAGAATATTCAGATCAGATTGTATTAGAAGGATTCAGATCGGAATAGAATGATTAAGATTAGATAAGAAAATTCGGATCAGATCCAGATTAGATGAGAACAGAAAAATCCAGATCAGGTTAGATCAGATTTTAAAATATTCATACCAGTTCATACCAAATGAACGGAAGATCTTCTAAGTCTTTCATATTTTGTTGTGCTTAAATGATTTAGGGTGTTAAGTAAGAGTAATTAGAAAATAGTATTGATACTTTAGTGTATTTAGGAGATTGTTGCTTTTTTATATTTTGGGAAAAAGGGCAAATAAGGACACGTACTAACCAAAAAAGTCAAATAAGGCCTTATTTATGAGGCTCTGGCCGGCCTTCGCCATTTGGGGTGGTTCTCGGTGGAATTTTTTGATGAATTTTTTTGACCATTTTATTCGTTAAGTCTAGTTTACTCATACCAAATTTCAGCTTACAATTCAATCGGGAAGACATTCAAATGAATTCTTGAAGATAACTGTGCTTTTAACTACGCAGTTATCTTCAAGAATTCATTTGAATGGCTTCCCGATTGACGTTTTAGCTGAAATTTGGTATGAGTAAACTAGACTTACTGAATAAGATGCTAAAAAAAATCATCAAAAAATTCCACCGGAAACCACCCCAAATGGCGATGGCCGGCCAGAGCCTCATAAATAAGACTTTATTTGACCTTTTTTTTGTTAGTACGTGGCCTTATTTGCCCCTTTTCTCTTATATTTTTGAACGAAATGGTAATTTTCTTGTGCTTCAATGTTTTAGGGTGTTAAGTAAGAGCAATTAGAAAATAGTAATGATATTTAGCGTATTTAGGAGATTGTTATTTTTTATATATATATTTTTACGAAATGGTAGTTGTTGTTTAAGATACTTAGGGGGTGTTTGGATCTGATTCTCAAAATTGATTCTGCTCCTTCAGGGAGCAGAAGCAGAAGCTGGAGTGTTTGGGTGAAATTCCAGAAGCACTTCTGGAGCTCTAATTTACTCTCAGAATCAGTTTTTTTAGAAGCTGGGAGGTACCAGCTTCTGGAAACTGATTCTGATTCTGCTTCTGCTTTTAAAAAAGAAGCAGAAGCAGAAGCAGTTCCAAACACCCCCTTAATCTATTCTTAGTTTTTTTCTACACTCAAATATCATTTGTAGTGGTGGACATGTCTAAATGTTAAAAAAGACTCGTCTATATGAAAACAATATTTAGACTTCTATTTTCCTACATTCTAGCATCGTCAATGAAATACATTCATCGTATTCTTTTACATACCAATTTAGTAAAACAATAATTAAATTATTATAAGTAATGTTTGCCTTTTATTTTTTTCATGAATAATAATGAAATTAGAAAAAGCATTTCGATGTAAAAATAAATATATTTCATTAAATTTTTAAAGCTTTTTCGCTTAAAAAAAAGAACTTACTTCAAGTAAAGTTCGTTTATGAAATAGAGTTTTTTCCCTGAATTAATGTTAATTAAACAAATTATTCAAAATAGGGTTGGGTTAAAAATAATTTTCAAAATAAGGTGATCCCTAGTTAAAAGAAAGCCCCCACTTGAAGTGGGGACATATGTATAAATGTCATAAATCATAGTAGCCTTGCCATTGCCAAAGTCAAAGGTGGGTCCCAAAGATAAAAAAATCTTTAATCTGCAATAACTTTTTTTATTTTGTCTCCAATTTGTATAAAATGTATATCGAAATTCGTAACTCTTTATGACCTTTCACATGACACCAATATTGCATATATAATTGTAAGAAAATCTAAAGACCATATGATGTCCAATTGAGATATCAAAATTCAAAATTCTATCTCCATTCGAAATTTCTTGCTCCTCAGACCACATTTAGGCTGAATATATATATATATATATATATATATATATATATATATATATATATATAGAGAGAGAGAGAGAGAGAGAGAGAAAACTTCATGTCAGGCCGGCCTGACGGGCTGCCCCGTCCGGCCGAGCCCGTTTGGGCACCTTCCCGGTGGAATTTTTTGATGAAATTTTTTGAGCATGTTCCTCATCAAGTCTAGTTTGTCCATACCAAATTTCAGCTCAAAATTCGATCGGGAAGGTCGTCAAATGGAACTCCGTGATCAAGAAAAGTCAATTTTGCAAATCGATTTGGGATGGAGGTATTATGAGTTTTGATATATATATATATATATATATATATATATATATATATATATATATATATATATATATATATATATATATATATATATATATATCAAAACTCATAATACCTCCATCCCAAATCGATTTGCAAAATTGACTTTTCTTGATCACGGAGTTCCATTTTATTCACTTAATTACGATGTCGATTTTTAATTATATTATAATTTGGAGTTTACAACTTTGAAAAGATTTGAATGTAATTTCTGAATATGTAAATTTTATTCTAAATATTTTAATTAATCATCAATATGGAAGATTTAACTTTAACATTAGCTGACCAAAAGATGTTGACTTTGCAAATCAAATTGGGACGGAGCGAGTAACTTTTTATTATCTCTGATGTGAAACTAATGTTGCATATATAATTTAAAAAAATTGAAGTTCTATCTTCCTCACCAGTATTGGGTTAGGATTTCTCAAAAGATTATGTAGTCACTGTAAATTTTGAATATACTTGTAGTAATTAAAAGGAACTAATCGTAAAATAATATCAGTTTTTTGTGTTAGTATGATCACATTTAGAGACTAATTCATTCTAATATAATTTACGTAGTACTCCCTCCGTCTCGCTATTAACTTCATGCTTTCCTTTTTGGGCCGTCCCAAAATCATCTTCTCATTTCCCTAAATGGAAAGTTATCCTACATCAAAACAGTGTCAAACAGTGTCTAAGCAGTAAAGTCAAATTTATTTTCTAAATGTGTGTGTAAGTCAAAGTAGGAAGTTAATAGCAGGACGGAGGGAGTATTAAATGAGAAAAAAATCATATAAGTTAAAATAAAAATATGCTTTGAAATGGAACTTTCAAGCTTAAAAGATAAATTTTAAAAAATTAAAACTATTTAAAAAGGATGAAACGTACTCTAATAATAAGTTATGGAGTACTACTTTTTTTTTTTTTGAAAGAAACGGAGTACTACTTATACACTATTAAATCAAGTTACACTTCGTACAGAATAATAATTATTATTATAAGCAGCAATATATTATGATTATAATTGTGACTTAACTTTCTAAATATATATGAACATTAATTAATAATCCAAATATGAAATGTAACATATATCATTGTTGGGGAAAACATGACCCCCGACCTCTTCCAGGATCACCAGCTCAAAGGACTCTTGTACATTCACCCACCCACTCATAACACAAAGATTCAATCTAACAATATCACTTTGTATTATACAATTGAAATGTACAAGAGATATTTTACAAGTAAACGGGTAGCTCACATCACTCTTTGCATATGAGACTACGGTCCGTGACTACACGCGTGTTTTTTGTAGTGCTACTCTTCTCAAAGCTTCTCTAGAACTTTCTATACATCACTACATTTCTAGATTCTTCCAAGAACTATCCACAAGCTTCTCTAATCTTCTAGAAGGATCCAGAGAACTCCACATCGCTTGAGAATGTTCTAGAGACTTCCACACACTTCCGCACGATTCTAGAGAATTCCACACTTCTCTAGAAAACTCCACAATGTTCTAGAATATTCTACACTCTTCCACACGTTTCTAGATAATTCCATGTCTCTCTAGAAAGCTCCAGAAGATTCTAGAACATTCAATACTTCTCTACACACATCTAGAGAATTCAAGACATCTCCTCACTATTCTAGAATTCTCATTATCTTCTCAATTAAGGAGGGAACCCAACAAATCTCCCCCTACCGACTTAATTGAGAAGTAGCAATCAACCACCAATAATAGTCTCACATTTAGACTCAACGGTTTCTACCTCACATGTGAGATGCTCTCCCTCAAAAAAATGCTTGGATCACACCATACGAGCAGCCATCAAGGAATGGTCATGATCTCCTCCGCAACAAGAATTGATCCACCAAACTCTCTTGTACCGCCGTTATCTACTAACGGGACACGCCGCCTTATCACCTCAATATCAGGAAGACTTTCGATACAACGCACCAACAGTAGATCAAATCGCAAAACCAAATCCTGGACACGATGTTCTCCAGAAGATCTCCTCTCCACCGACACTTGACCTGCAATTCTTCTTGTACCGTTGTTGTTTACCAACGGGACACGCCGCCTAACCTCCACAATATCAGGAAGACTTTCGATACAACGCACCACTAACAGATCAAATCACAAGACCGGCCTGAGAACCATCCACACGATGCATTTCATCACTCTACTCTATATATGTATGACCCAAGCTCTAAAGTGAAGTCCAACATCCCATCAAAGAGCATGATCTCGAATGCCTCTACCAACACTGCTACCATTATGGTAATACGAGATCTATCCCCACGACGAATTCCACCCGTTACTCTTGGCTCTGATACCACTGTTGGGGAAAACATGACCCCCCCGACCTCTTCCAGGATCACCAGCTAAGAAAAACTCTTGTATTAAATAATTGAATTTTACAAGAGAGTGTACAAATGAACGGGTATCTCACTTCACACTTTCTAGTTGGGAATACTCACTCTTCCTCACTTACGAGAAGCCTTTCTTTCACACCACAAATGAAAGGCTACACCATCTATTTATACTACTCACAAAGGGGTAGGGACTCTCTCTCTAGAATCTTCCACCGACCTCTCTTCATTCTAGATTCTTTCAAGGAGCCTCCACAAGCTTCCATTATCTTCTTGAACAATCTAGATGACTCCACACTTATTTAGAACACTCTAGACTACTCTACAACCTTCTACACATTTCTAGAGATTTCTACATTTCTCTAGAGACTAGAGTATTCTAGAAGATTCTATAACATTCTACACACATCTAGAGAATACTATATTTCTCTAGATAATTCCACAATATTCTAGAGAATTCTACTCATCTCCACATAGTCCTAGAATTCTCTAGAATTTCACAAAGTATCTGGAAATATTGAATTACATCCTAACAATTCCTCCCTTAATTCATATTTCCAAATATTTCAGTGATCTCCGAAAATTTGACTTTCTTTTCCTTGACTCCTCCGGCGCGTCTTGTTTTCACTGCACTGCCTTCCAAGAAGCAAACGTTCTTCTCATTTTTCCGTCCTCTCATGAGCAAGCGTCTTCCCTTAAACACCTTGCACCACTTATTTGTGCCAAAATACTTGCACCCTTCTAATGTCAATGCACCCAACGAGATGACATTAGCTTTACTCGAAGGCACGTACCTCACATTGTGGAGAATGTGGCTTGAACCATTATGAAGCACCATCTTTATGCTTCCAGAACCTTCAACCTTTAACTTCTCGCCGTTAGCTAAGTTGAAGTGACCAAACTCTCCATTAGTGGTCAAGGTGTCAAACATGGCTTGATCACGACATATGTGCATTGAGGCAGCGCTATCCATCACCCACTTAGATTTGGCAACCTCTTCACTTGTTGCTAAGTAAACATCACCATCATCTTCATCGCAGACCACATTGGTATGGGAGTCACTATTATCCTTGCTTCGAGATGCCTCCCTAAACTTTTTCAAGTCCTCCCTCAATTCATGACAACTCGCTTGAATGTGACCCCTTTTTCCACAGTAATAGCACTCTATGTCACTTAGATCTTGGCGCGGCCGAGACTTTGATCTCCATCTAGGGTTACCTTGCTCTCTTGAGAGGTTTCTTCCTCGCTCTCATTCTCGTTCTCCCACAACTAGTACGCGATCTCCACTTATGTTTACATTGTCATTCTTTAGCATCCTCTCACTCTCACGCAAAGCTGTCGTCACCTCATCCAGTGTGAGATTTGTCCTTCCTAAAAGTAGAGTTTGGACCAATGGTTTGTAGGACTTCGGTAGTGATGCTAATAACAACAATGCCTGCTCCTCATCTTTGATCTTGTCATCTACATTCATTAGTTGGCATACTAGTTGATTGAACATGTTTATGTGATCATGAAGATTACCTCCTTCCTCCATTTTGAGTGAGTACAACTCCATCTTCAAGCATAATCGATTAGTCAGTGACTTCGATGCATAGATTCCCTTGAGCTTGTCCCACAACGCCTTCGGTGTTGCCTCCTTCAACACACTAAACTTAATCTCAGGAGCAAGTGCCAACCGGATTGTACTCACAACCTTCCTCTGCATCGCGCTCCACTCTCTATCACTCATGGAGGCAGGCTTCTCCTCATCTAGAGCTTGATCAAGACCTTGCTGCACCAATAGGTCTTGGATCGTATTCTGCCACAGCGTAAAGTTGGTCTTCCCATCAAAGAGTGGGAGCTCAAACACCTTCGACATGTTTGATGCCATCACACTATCACGAGATCTTTCTACTGAGAAAATACACCTGTTCCTCTACCACCTGAGAACCTTGTCTCTGATACCACTGTTGGGGAAAACATGACCCCCCGACAAGTAAACGGGTAGCTCACATCACTCTTTGCATATGAGACTACTTCACTCTCACTCTCCTATCTCAAGGAGGCTCCCCCTCACTCAAGACCTCTCCTTGAGGCTCCTCTCTTACATCCCTCAAGGAGACTCTCTCTCTCTAGGCCCTCACTCACATGGCTCTCTCTCTAGAGGCTCACCTAGGAATGAAGGGTGTCACCCCTATTTATACTACTCTTCTCAAAGCTTCTCTAGAACTTTCTATACATCACTACATTTCTAGATTCTTCCAAGAACTATCCACAAGCTTCTCTAATCTTCTAGAAGGATCTAGAGAACTCCACATCGCTTGAGAATGTTCTAGAGACTTCCACACACTTCCGCACGATTCTAGAGAATTCCACACTTCTCTAGAAAACTCCACAATGTTCTAGAATATTCTACACTCTTCCACACGTTTCTAGATAATTCCATGTCTCTCTAGAAAGCTCCAGAAGATTCTAGGACATTCAATACTTCTCTACACACTAGAGAATTCAAGACATCTCCGCACTATTCGAGAATTCTCATTATCTTCTCAATTAAGGAGGGAACCCAACAAATTTACCTATCTTTCCAAATATATGAAGAATAATACGCAGTAGTTAATATAAGCATGTGTGTATATGAAAGCGACATGTGGCTAAGAGTAGCTAAAAGAGTAACACATGGCAATAGTGCATAATAGAATCACATAGGTCAATGTGATCTTCAATTGTATAATATATAGATATAGATATAGACAGGGGCGGAGACAGGGGGTCAAGGTGGTCAGCCGACCCCGCTGAAAGTTTGAGAGCATAGAGCTCTGAAATATCTTCGATTTGATAAATAATGGCCCCCGTAACTCATTACGAGTAAAAAGTTATGACTTCTGCAAAATCAGCACTATCTAAACGTAAAATCAACAAAATTTGATGAGCAATATTGATTTTTTTCCCCAAATTTTAAAAATAGGTTATAATTAACTCATTACTTACGTGACATGACTCAAAAATAGAGCAAAAACAATCTCTTTTATTGTTACGAGTGCCTATTTATCTAAACTACATATTAAATATTCAACTCGGACATTGTGTGGAAACGATCCACCGTTTTCATTTTGTATAAAGTTGATTCTCGACCCCACTGGACCGTATTTCTGGCTCCGCCACTAGATATAGATATAGATATAGATATAGATATAGATATAGATATAGATATAGATATAGATATAGATATAGATATAGATATAGATATAGATATAGATATAGATATAGATATAGATATAGATATAGATATAGATATAGATATAGATATAGATATAGATATAGATACGCAGTATGCTCTTATTATTATAATCATTACATTATTATAGGCCTTAATTAATTTCATACGCAGTATGTAGTACTTCGTATATGACTCAAATTTATACGGAGTAGTTGGTACGTCCGTGGGTGCAGGTATGCAGTTGTGACAGGAGGAAACAAAGGGATAGGGTTGGAAATATGCAGGCAATTAGCAAGTAATGGGGTTATGGTGGTTTTGACCGCCAGAAGTGAAAAAAGAGGAATTGAAGCCGTGGAGAAACTGAGATCATGTTATGGTTTGCATGATTCCGTGGTGTTCCATCAGCTCGATGTTGTCCATCCATCCTCTATTTCTTCACTCCTCCAATTCATCAAAATCAACTTTGGCAAACTTGACATTTTGGTAAGCTAGTTGAATTATATTGAGAAATTGCTATAAATAAGAGTAAATTTTGAAATTCCAAAATCCAAAATATATATGACTGTCATTTTTCCTAATGAACTGATTGAAAAATATTATCCTAATGACAGAAAATAATGTCATATTAATGTCTAATCCTGCAACAATTAATTTGACAGTAATGACCCCAAGGCCCAAGATGACAATAAATAGCGTTATATTACTTTTATTTTATGAACAAAACATAACAGTCATATTTTTGGAATTTCAAAACTTTTTTCTCCTATTTCGGGAACTTTCACCATTAGATTTCCTTAGGGGTGTTAACGAGCCGAGCCCGAACACCTAAAGCTCGAGTTCGGCTCAATAAGGAATTAATGATGTTCGGGTTCGAGCTCGAAGCTCGGCGAACTTTACAAATGAGGCTCGTGTTCGGCTCGATAGGCGTTTGATGTTCGAACCGAGCGCTCAATAAGCTCGATAAATATGGTCGTATTTAAAATTTTAGGTGATGCTCGTTAATAGGCTCGTGCTCGAATGATACGACAAATATTCGGTTCGTTAATAATCATATTTAAATTCATAAGAGCATACTAATTATATTTAAATTTTGATTATATATAAATTATATTTATAATTTAAAGGTGTTCGATAGGCTCGAGTTCGAACCGAGCCGAATACTACTATGTTCGAGCTCGGCTCGATTAATTTTTCAAACTTAAAACTCAGCTCGAGTTCGAGTTCGAAAGCTCGTTAAGCTCGGCTCGTTAGGTTCGAAACCGAGCTCGAGCTCGAATAGTTCGATAAAAGCTCGGTTCGTTAACGGCCCTAGATTTCCTCAATCGTCATAAACGAGCTTTATTCTGGCATGACTAATATTTAATGCATTAACTCAAACTTATAATTAGTTGACTTTTCAGTTAATGATGCAATTTTTTTTTTCTTTTTTAATGAGTACATTCATTTGTTATTGCTCAGGTAAATAATGCAGGAGTTCTTGGAGTTGTTGCGGATGAAAATGCTTTAAAGGCTTCAGCGGTAGGTTCTAATAGCTAGATAGATACTCCCTACGTCCCATTTATATTGTCCCGTTTTACCTTTTCGGGAAGTTCCACTTAAATTGTCACATACCATATTTGACAAAGTTTGTGTGGCTCTAAATCATTCTTACTTTATCAATTAATATCAACCACACAAACTCACTTTTCTTAATAACCGTGTCACCCTCTTGATTGGGACAATATAAATGGGACGGAGGTAGTATATGATAGAGGACTTTTCATGTCCAGCCGGCCTGACGGGAACCGCCGTCCGGCCGAGGGAATTTCGGGCACTTCCCGGTGGAATTTTAAGATGAAATTTTTTGAGCATGTTCTTCATGAAGTCTAGTTTATCCATACCAAATTTCAGCTAAACATTCAATCGGGAAGGCACTCAAATAATTTATTGAAGTTAACTGGGCAGTTCATACATATAAACTGTCCAGTTAACTTCACAAAATTATTTGAATGCCTTCCCGATCGAATTTTGAGCTGAAATTTGGTATGGATAAACTAGACGTCATGAAGAACATGCTCAAAAAATTTCATCAAAAAATTCCATCGAGAAGTGCCCGAAATGCCCTCGTCCGGACGGCGGTTCCCGTCAGGCCGGCTGGACTTGAAGACTACTCGTATATGCTATATCAATTATTATTTTACTTCTTTTTAACTTTATAAGTCTCATTTGTTATTATTCAGGAATTACGTGATTAATTTTGTTAAGGGTATTCGGATCTAGGGCTAAAAAGTACTTGCGAGGAATTGAAACAAACCCACGCCTTACCGGAACCGAACGGTTGAAAACCAAACCAATCAAATTAAAACTAATTAATAAATCCATTATTTTATATAAGAAGTATCTATTTAATATCTTTACAGGTACACTACTTGGTTGATGTGTACCAAGTGTAAATAGAACTTCGAACTTTCTAAATAGAACTAATTTTTTTAATCGTCAAACAAATGGCTTAGATTTAAAATCACAACATTCTGCAGGGGTGCAATATAACAAAAGGATCACATGTAACCATCTGTCCTTGACCGAGACTCTGAATTAATCACCTTTGACAAAATAATATAACTCGCTAGACCTAACTTGGGCAACATAAAACCAATGACGATTACTCTAGACCTTTCATCCACCAAACCTAATGCATGATTCTTACAACAAAGGAAAAAATAAAAGTAAAACAGAACAGTCTGACCATGAAAATTAAATAGCAAGCAAACAATAAAATTAAAATATTGCTTCCAAGTTCCAAACTCTAAACTCTCCTGCACTTTATGGCGGCAGTTCAGGAGGGGGGCGGTCCAACAGTACTGAAACATCTTCCACTCCTTGCCTCCGATCCAGATTTGAACCAGCCTCTAGCCCCACGTTTCGTTCATGACCTTTTGATCTCAACCATGAACGACATCCTCGAACCTCTCCATCTGCTGCTAGGGATACACAACATTTGGCCGCCATATAGTCGCTGCGATCTGCCGAAGAAGAAAGTCTCACGGAAAGCGGACTAAAACTGCACAAGAAAGCCGCACTTCGTCGAAGATGAAAGCGGAGAAAAACAACCCCTAAACTTAGGGGAGACGACCGCCTTTGATTCAAAAATTACTTCACGAACATTTACTTAATGCCAATCGAAGCTTGATAAGTCCGTATTTAGACACACATTTGATGCGTGTTGGGATCAACTTTTGATGGTTTTCCTAGCTTTAAGGTGTTACAAGTTTCAATTTTAGCTCAAGTTATGTTTACGAGGCGTTGGTTCAAGTTTTGCATTGTTTGGAGTCAAATTCAGGAATTTCGAGTCCGGCACCAGCGCTTGAGAAGCAATCGAGAAGAGTTGGAGAGCATTCGAGAGAGATTTGTGAGTTTTGGAGGCCATCGGGATGTTCACGACGAAGATTTGATGAAGAAACGGCCTTCGGATCGATCAAACAAGAATCTGGGAGCGAACGAGGAAGAATTTATTTCTTCTTCTCAATTTCAAATTGAATAAGTTTGGACAAAACCAAGCAGCTCTTGCTTTCAAGTTTACATAAATCAACCCCTTAAACCCTAGCTCACGCCTCTAAATCCAACCGAAAATCATTATGAAGCAGAGAAGAAAATAAAAATAAATCAGACATCGTCCTCGTGAAGAAGCATATTGGGAATTCCCTTACTCACAGGAAACTTCCAGCTAGTTTGAGGGCAAACCATCGCTCCTTCTTCGAGGTGAATCTCGAGGAGTGCGTGGTGTATCTTCTGGAGGAACTCTTCAGATTCGAGCATGGAGGCGGTTGCGTCCGTATCTTCCAGGAGCAAACGGGAAAGAAAATAGCAAGAACACGGTTCTAGAGCATTCCGCGCGCCCCGCGGGTCGGTTCCGCACGCCCCGCGGGTGATTCTGAGAGCAAGAATTCAAGAAGTCTGAAGCGCACTATGTGCGGCCGAAACCGCACACCGCGCGTTCCGAAATAGCCCCCAGAAGTACCCGCACTATTGTATAGTGCGGGATCCGCACGCAAGTGCGGACGGAGCGAAACGCGGAGCACATTAATTTTCTCGCGCGGCCGCACGGTGACCCGCACGGCGTGCGGTCGACAGTGCGGTTGTGCGATTCAGCCTATTTTCGCGTTTTTTCTCTAAATATGCCCCCAATTTGTCTATTTTGAGGGGGAGCTTAGAGAGATGAACCCTAAGACAAATTTGGAGAGCTTTTCAAGACTTGGATTGTTAAGATTTGGGAATTCTTTGTAAGTTCAATCTTTTTAATTAATGACAATTATTTCTATTCATCCCAATTCTGTTGATTCTTCAATTATGAATTGCGAGTAGTTTTAATTAGGGATTTAGGGTTGATGAAGGGGTTAATCATGATGTATGGCTAGTTTCTTGATGGATTAATTGCATGAATGCCGTTTAATTTGTGTTTGAATAATTTAACGGATATCTTTTGTAACCTAGAATCGCGACTAGAATTACAATTGCTTGTAGAATATATTAAGAGAGATCTAATTTATTCTAAGACACATTCACACACACTTAATCATTCGCTATGAGATTAGTAGCGATTAAGGGGCCGTAAACTCGCTCGTCTTGGCAATAATTTAGGAACTTGTCGCATGAGAGATCAGCCCGGTCCTCTAAATTATTGTACTCTACGCCGCGAGAGCGGTAAGAACTTAGTAACAATTAGCTAAGCTCAATTAAATTAATTTCATGTAATTAAGCCTTAGTCATTAATTAGAAAGAACCCCTTAGTTTAATCGTTTTATTCGCATTTTAATTTTCCAGCAACCAATCTCGCACCACGCATTTTTATTTATTTTTTAATCGCTGAATTTAATTAAGAGATATTTACCTAAATAGGAGTAAATAAGTCTAAAATTGTCAAAAAATAGGACCAAAGTTTACAAATTCCCCAAATAAGAGTTATTATTTGAAATTAGACAAAAATACCCCTGAAATTGGAAGCCATACTCCCGCAGACCACAACACTAGACCACAGCCATTTGCCGGTCGCTGCCGTTCACCGCCGGTCGCCACCAGTCGCCGCCGGTCGCCGGACATCGCCGACAACCTTAAAAATTGGCCGCCGTTGCAGATCTGCCCACCGCCGTTGCATATCTGGCGAGCGTCGCCGGAGATCTGGCCAGATCTAGCCTCCGCCGACCGTCGACCGCAGCCCCTGTAGATCCAGCAACCATCCTTGCTGATCCGGCATCTGCCGTTGCTAATATGACCCCCTCAGTTATAGATCTGGCCGTTACCAGCTTGAATGCCAAGTTTATTACCAGTGTGCCATCTTAATGGCATTTCAAAGGCAAATACAAAATATTTGAAGACTAAAAATGCCATTTTAATGGCATTTTTCAGAGTTTAACTTGGCATGCTGTAAAAATCCAAGAAGAATTGGAGCATGGGGAAGAGAAAACTAGAGAAGAGCGGGAGAACCATCAGAGGAGAGAAGCCGACCTACGGAGAATAGAATTCGGTCTCCAGCAGCGGCGGCGGCGGTGGACTTCGCGATGGCGGCGGCGGCGGACCTCGATACAGCGGCGGCTATGGGGTTTGGCTGAGCTTCTAGGTTTTTATTCGTGTGCAAAGGGCAAGGAGAGAAGATTTACATGGGAAGGAGAAGAATGAATGATACGCATGGATGAGGAGGAGAGAAAAGTTATGCGCAGGTAGGGCATCAGATGATGTGCCGCAGGGAGATTAAAAGGAATAGGGGTATATAAGTAATTCAGTCCTATTTAGGGAATAAAAATATACATAATCCTATTTAGGAATTTTAGGAATAATTTAGTCCTATTTGGGACAATAATTTCTTTAATTAATTCTTAATGCCCTTTTGTCCGTCCCTGTGGAGACGATACTCGTACTTACACCACTATATTACGATGTATTTTAAGTGTGGGAAAACTCACATCAAAATTGTCTATTTCCGGTCTTGGTTGCCGATCAAAGCCAATCTTGGCTAGCCGCACAAGATCGATCGAAGACAAGCAGCACGTTCGCTAGGTTTTTTACTGGGAGCCTCGCATCTTCATGTCTAAAAACTTATTAGGTGTATTCAGTTTATACGATTTGGGTAATTTCTAAATAGAACTAATTAAAATAAGGATAAAGTTTTTTTTTTGGAAGAAAGTGGCTTATATTAATAAGATCAAACGCAAGGAGGATACAAACCGACAAAGAGCCAACTGCCTACCGTCTGCCCGTGAACCAGACTTAGAATCTGCCATCTCATAAGAAGCAACCAGATTCGCTGATCCTGAATTGGGCTTACTTGAGCCAATGACTGGTAAACCCATCTCTCTACTACCTGTCCTGTGTTCAAGACTTTTGACCGAAATAAAAATAACAACAAACAAGAGTACTCGATGATCAAAGCAAAAACCAACATAAAGAAAAGCCAGTCTAAAACTTAGAAAAACTTCATAACTCCAATAGCCCCGAATCTTCACAAGTTTTGGCGGGTCTGAGAGTCCCAGCCCGCCTCTTCCCTGTTTTTTGTGCCGTCGAGAGCCATGACATCCTCTTCTGGTTGCTCCTGCCCCTGCTCCTGTGCATCCCAGGTCCTCCTTCTCTTCTGTTCTCCCGTTCCACTGCTAATAATCCTTGCTTCCTTAGGCTTCGACCCTTCCCCTTTCTCCTGAATCTTGATCTGCATAAGGATAAAGTTTATAAATAAGATTATTATTGCTTTATTTCTAATTAAATAGGATTCGATCATTGTTATTTTGGTTAGTTTTAATCAACTTATTCTTTTAATTGGACTAAATAAGTCACATTTGAGGAATAAATCATATATAATCCTATTTTTAACTGTGTATATCTTTTAGTCTTATATTGAGCAATTTCTTAATGTATTATATATACTTGTTGGTGATGAATATTAAGGCTCGGATTTTAAAATGATGAGTTAATGAAGTTCTATCATATAGATGTTTTCACTTTTTGCCTCACAATTGTCTTGTGTATATTATTTTACTATTGTCTGGATCTGATTTGGTATGTTTAATTCAAATTTTGTTTGCAACTGAAAGTAGTTAAAACAACTTATGATAGAAGAAGTAGGCCAATATTTTATACTCAATATGTTACTCTGTATTTTTAAAGTGTGGGATATCCATGTAGTTAGTACGGGTGCATGGGCGGAGCTAGAGGGGGCAGGCTAGGCCCTTGTCCACGCCAAATATAAAAAATGCATGTCTTGATTCTTAAGGTAAAATATTATGTGTAATTTTTTTCTAAAAATATTCTTTACATCGGCCTAGTCCCACACCTGTACGGGTGAATGTGGCGATCTTTAGCTAGTTTGTGATGCGTACGTACGATCTTCTATATAATTCGATATGCTACTGAACATGCATTATATTATATTGTATGTATGGATACTGCATATATATATATTTATATATGCAGGGAGGTAAAATAAATTGGAAGGGTGTACTTACTCAAAATTATGAGTTGACTGAAGAATGCTTGGAGATAAATTACAATGGCACAAAGAAAATGGTGGAAGCATTTCTTCCTCTCCTCCAACTGTCTAAGTCTCCCAGAATTGTAAATCTCACCTCGGGTTGGGCAAAATTGGAGGTAGTTATTATATAATACGGAGTATCATTCCATCTATTTCTTTTTAGTTAGTAATTTTTGATTTTTCAAATCAATAGTACTAAACGTTGACTGATAATATGTTTATGTATGAAAGTATTATTTATATGTAGATCAATTAATTTAAAATTCATAATAGTTAAAATGGTTGATCAAAGGTTACCATTATGGACTAAGAAAACTCGAAAGATGTGTAACTAAAAAGGGATGAGATTAGTATATACTCTCTCCGTCCCAATATAAAAGGCACATTTGCGTTTTACAACATTTTAAGGAGAAACACTGTTTGGCACTGTTTAGACATTGTTTGGCACTGTTTGGACACTGTTTTGACACTGTTTTGCACTGTTTTGTTTGCCAAAAAGGAAAATGTGCCTTTTATATTGGGACGGCCCAAAAAGGAAAGTGTGCCTTTTATATTGGGGCGGAGGGAGTATATCTCAATCTGGACACTTTTTAATTTATTACTCTGTATTACATGTATAGAATATAAATAAATATTAGAGAAAAAGTATGACTAAAGCATTTATCGATTCCTAACATATGACTAGCATATATGTGGATGATAATAATAATTGAATTCAGAAGAGAAAAAGTAAGATCAGAACACATATAAAATGCGTTTAATTTAGGGACAAAAACTATGAAATAACCAAATTAATTTAAAAAAACGTCACCTCTTTTGGTCTCACTCGATCGATCCTAGTATTTTTCTATAAATATATGGATATATGATGTGCAGAATATTGGCAATGAAAGGGCGAAAAGAGTTTTGAGCAATGTTGAAGGTGAGGTAGCGGAGGTGGATGAAGTGGTGAGTGAGTACCTAGAGGACTTGAGAAAGGTGGGGGCGGCGGCGATGCAAGAAAAGGGGTGGCCTTCTATCATGTCTGCGTATGCCGTCTCCAAAGCAGCCATGAATGCATATTCAAGGATCATAGCGCACAAGTTCCCTTCCTGTCAGGTCAACTGCGTCTGCCCCGGCTACGTCAAGACGGACATTACCTACCACACTGGGGACTTCACCGCTGAAGAAGGTGCCTCCGCTGTTGTGCGGGTGGCTCTGCAGCCGGAAGATGGACCTTCTGGCGTTTTCTTTGATCGGCAAGAGATTATTTCATTTTAATAATAATAATAGGAGTAATAATCATGTAATGCTGATGAGAATGATGATGATATACCAATAATAATAATAATAGTAAATCAGATTTTTTTACTTTAATCCGACTTAATGACAATCAGGGGCGGAACCAGGCCGGGGCGAGCCGGGGCGAGCCGGTGCTGGCGCCACCCCTTCGCTGGAAATGTTCTCGTATTATTTTCATACCGCCCCTAGTCTTCTTCCAGACTTCCACCTTGTTCCACGTTTTCCATGGCCGGCTACCGCTGCAATAATGTTGCTCTGTTTCAGATCTCTTTAAGCCGCTTATGTTTTTATTTTTTAACTTAACAAAACGGCGCCGTTAGATTAAGTGGTACAAATAAAAGCGAAACGACGTCGCAGACCTTTATGCTTATAAGCTTTTAGTAGAACGAAAGGTTGAAATTTAAAACCCGGTTCACGATCAACTAAGCAAGCGATTGAAACTCTTGGAGTTTGAGACAATTTTAGTAATACTTGTATTGAGCGTCTGTAAAAAAAAATAGCTTGTTTACTCGTTGAATTTGTATTGTATAAAAATCGATTTATTAATATGTACGTAGCTAGTATAATTTTAAAAAGCAATTTAAACTTTTTTAGGTTGACGCCATGCAGTAGGTTGTATAATTTTTAATTTGTTTTAATTTGTGCCTTGTTTACTCAATTATTTGTTTAATTGCTTGTTATAGTTCTTCTATTTCCTTGTTTCAAACTTTTAGATTTTTAATAATTTATATTTTACTTGTTCACTCCTTTAAATGGTGCAAGTAGTTTAAATAATTTCAGAAAATAGAAATGGCTAATATGTAATTGTTAGGATATGTTTTATTTGTTTTAGATTTTAATAATGTGTATGTGATTCATCTTCTAATAATTTATGATTTTAAAATCTTGAAATTGTTATGTAATATCTATCTATATCACAATTTGTAATGCGAGTTGTGGGTATTCTAAACGAGCTAACGAAATAGGGAAAAACATTTTCATGTCGAATTTAATCCAAATGATATTGTTGTGGATCTAGAGTTGTGTAAACTTACTTTTGCCTTTGATCCTTGCATTAGAAACCAAGTACAAGAGAGTATTTTTCCCTTTTATAGAAAAAATTTGTGGTTTCAGTTAATTCTCTCTTTTATGCACAAAGTTCAATCAAACAGTTTTTACTTTATTAGTTCTCGAACTAATCAAAATTGACCAAATTTTTAAGGGAATGAGGGAGTAGATGTTTTAAATCCTCTTCATTTTGACATACTTTTCAGCCTCCCCTCAAACACTGTTCTGGTTCCGCCTCTGATGACAATAATACGTTATTAATCATATCATAGATGCACTACTACTTATGCAATCCTGAAGAAGGTTGTTTGTACTTTGTATGCAATGCTAAGTTTCACTCTTAAGCTGAATAATGGAAAGTGGAGACCGGCAACACACCGTTAAACGTCAGGAAGTCGAAAACCATCCACATTTTCCTCAAGAGACTTATAGGCCGGTTTACATTCCTTAATGATATTCACACAACTATCTTGATGTGACTGCTCTGGATCGATCTCATCCCTAATAGCTGAGTAGTTTTAGTAAACTAATAAATGTAACTTAAGAAAATCAAAATAGGTAATTGTATGTCTGTTTGTTTCACCTAAATAGGTTCTTTTATTTCTTATTTTAAGATGTTATTGGTGTGTATAATCCTTGGGACACCTTTAAGAAGCATCACACAAATAAAGGATCAACATACACTAACTTTATATTTGGGATATCGAGTTAAGTGTATCAAATTTGAACCATTTGCAATTGTATGTAATTGATAAGACTCCGTACACCAGACTTCCCCTTACCCTACCGCAAGTGGGAACCTTTGCGGCATTGGGGTAATGATAATGATAATGATGATGATGAAACAAATGGAAACTCCTGCTACAATTTTCACATTTATAATATAGCGCATCATACCCCGTTTGTCTATGTTGAGCTGAATCTATGAGTGTGTTTTCAATGAGATATGAGGTGACATTCTCATGACAAAACAATCTCTTAAACTCAGTACACTTATGGTAGAGCTTGGAAGTGGTATTGTATGCAAGTTTTATCAACTACCCTGCTGAATGTTTTAATATACTTATCATAAGTATTAGTATTAGTATTAGTATTTTCAATGTTCTTAAAAATCATCAATGTTCTTAAGAGTTGGGGTCTTTGATTTCCTGCTTTAAAATTTTCATTTTCTTCTAATCTTCTTGATATACATTGCCATTGTTCTCTATTGTTCTTTCAAGAGATTATTATTCATGGTGTCAGTTTTGTTTGAAAAGGAACTATATGCATTTTTCTTTAGGCTTACTTGGTAAATGCAAACCATAAATATAGATAGAAATATCAAAACATTCACAACTTTACATAAACGAATATGTAACATTTAGCACTTAAGGGTAGCAACGCGCACTTGCTCTTTAAACTTTCTCTTAAGCACAGAGTCATGTTCTCTAAGCATGCAGAAACACTAAATGCAATAATTTACCACTCTAGGGAAATCCTCTATACTTAATAGGAGTACAAATTCATCTAAACCGTTCATTTAAAAATGATCTAAATCATTCACTTAAAAATCCATCTATCGTTTTCCTTATGTAATTCTCTTTTCTTTTCTTTTCTTTTCTGAATTCTCTTTCGATTTCTTTGCTCTTCTTTCCATCTTTTTTTCCACTGATCCTTTTCTCTTCTTCCACCGATCATTTCCATCCTTTTCCACCAATCTTCATTTCTTTCCTCTTTTCAATGTTCTCTACTTTCGTCGCTGCAAGGAGCTCAAGGAGAAAATGGTACATGGGAATGGTGGTAGCGACGACTTGATCAACCTCTCTGAGTTCTTTAAACTTGAGGAGAAGAAGGTGCAAGGGATTTGTGGTAGTGACAACTCGATCACCTTCTCTGAGGTCTTTAAGCCTGAAAAGTAGGTGTTGGACAATAGATTCAATCGTTTGAGTTGATTTTCAGTTCGTTTTACAATTTGTCTTGCGTATTAAAGTTGTTAAATTTTTCTGCAATCTACGTGGTTTATAGTCGAAACTTTGTTGATTAAGAGCCCACTTGAGGCGTCTTTCAGCAATCTTTAATTTGATTTTAGGAAGCAAAATATTTTTCTATCCATCCACTGAGATCAGTCTTCTAGGGCAACTCATGTACTCTCAGTAACTACTAACTAGACTACATATTTTCTATTGCTATATAATGATGTTAATCAGGTTCTCTCCTCTGAAATGCTTAATATTTTTAATCAAAACAAATGAAGTGAACAAAGAAATCAAATATTAGGCTTGAAGGTTTTCTAGCTACCGACATCCATTTGATGGACATCTATCATTGTGGAGGAGCATGTTTGGTTGGTACTACTTAAATTTTTATTGTGACACTTTGTGCACTTCTTTTTGCTTTAGTTTTTGCATTTGATGTTGCCAAACATCATGGAAACAGAAACAACAAATCAGATCTCTTGATCTTTTTATTGCTAAAAATATCAACCGTACATTTGATTCACATGTAATTGGAAAGAATATGCTCTTGGAATTGTTGTTTACTACTTGCACTAGATTTGCAGCTTTAGAATTTATTTTAAATATTCACTATAGCACAAATAAAATACAATATATAAACATACAACACTGATTTTTAGCCGATAACAAATGTTAGATACAATTTTAGTTGTTCCTTTTAATACGTTTATATGAGATTTATGTCTTCTTTTATTTATGTTGCTTTTAAAAGTGGTGGCATTTCTACTACACTGGTCTACAAAATCTTTTTTTGATCATTTAGTTAAGTAAACTTGAACAACTTAAGATTCAGTTTTCAAATTGAGGCTGAAATCATTTTTTTTTTGGAAAAAGAAGATTTTATTCATATAAATAAAAAGTACAATGCAAGAAAACAAATAAAAGTACATAAAACAAAAGAAAGAGAAAAAACAACAAAAAAAAACTAAACCCAGGGGAAATTTCTGGACTGTGATCTAGTCGTCATGTTGTGTGCCTCCTTTTGTTTTTCCGAGATTTTCTATAAAGTTTAAGTTGCTTGTTCAAATCGTCTGTTGGCACACAATTTTCGGAGGTGACAAACTTTGATTTATGGCAAATCAATCTGTTGAACTTGGAGTTCCCAATTTCTTCATGTGTTGATATAGGAGGGCGACGACCACTTTCAGTTGCATGTGATGACATCATTGTTGATATGTGATGACAAGTTTCATAATGTCCTTGGTGATGCCAGAAAGGAACTCCTTGAGATGTATAGAGAACTTAATCATCAAAAGAGGAATGAACTATCTTAATTTTCAATGGAAAGTGTGTTTACAACACTTGAATCAGATAGTAGTATCAAACAGTTTGTTGATGCATTGTGCTAGTACTTCAAATCTCATCACGACATTAGCAGTGAGAGAAATTCTGGGTTTTTAAAGGTGAGTGGATGTTCTTAAGCATATTCGTATTTGAAATGTGAGAAAAACATTGCACTTTTTTTCATTATAATTTCCAATGTTATGACGTGAATGTGTTGTTCATAATTGGTTTTTGGTTTATGAATTTCAGAAGGCCGGAGAGTACAATTTTTCTGCTTGCAGCAACACTACTTATCTCGTGTTCGGCTAGAGAGAGCTGCTTTCACTTTGTTTACTATGGTGGAATGGAGCAACTTGGATATGCTTATGTGCATAATTCAATTGTTCAAAAGCTAATGCTTCTTGGAGCCATTGAGCGAGCTACTCAACATTCAGCTTATTGTGAAGGTTTCTTTGGCTTGTGGCCCCCGTAAAGATGAGAGTATCCCTTCTGGTATAATGATGGATATAATCACATATTGAAGTTATTAATGAAGTGTCAGTGGCGTGGTGTTGCTTTGATGTCAACTTATATTATTCATCATATGCGCTTCTATGATGTAGCTTTCCGATATGAGGTTCATGCTTCTAAAAAACTAGATTATGTTTAGTCTGAATCACTATTGTAAGTCTCGCTCTCTTTGGTTATCTATCTTGACCACTCTTCGTAGAACAACATCATGCAGTTCTACCTATAAAATGTTGACAATGCTTTCTGCAATTATGTTTATATTGATATTGATGTACTTGAGATTTCTTTTATAAGAAGCTTAAAGATGACATTGATAGATTTTATTCAAAGCATGTATTTTAACTTATGATAACATATAAGTGACTCAAAAGGAACCAATGTCTGGTGTTGTTAGCACCAGCATCATCAGAGGGAGCGGTGGACAATCACCACCCATTTACCCATCTAGGGGAGCTTGAAAATTTGCAAAAGAAGAGAAAAGACAGAGAGTAGTCAACATTAATGAAGACGGTGAGAAGCATGTCAGGTGGAGGCCACCATATATCGCCACCGCCATTGCTTCCCACTGTTGTGAGCCGGAATACAAAAAACTCGAGTGATGTAGCGATGATAATGAAAGATACATCTTGGTCGAATCAGCCGCAGGTCACGCAACAATAGCAAGGGTGATCTAATCACCAACCACCCCAACTAACATGTGGTGGTGGACTGGTGGTAGTGGGGGCGGTGGAGGTGGCAACAACTCAGTTGCATGGGAAACCCCGTGAAGAGGATGAGAACAGATTCTGGTAGAAGGCGCCCTAGCCATTTATTATTGATTGCTGGTGGAGGTGTATTTTTCTTTGTTTGTTTCTATTTTAAGGTTGGTGTACTACGCTGCATGTAAATGGACTTGGTCTATCGGCTACTTGTTCCTGTATGTAGTATATATACAATTTTCTCTGCGGTTCCTATAATATTCTCCCAACTGGTGATGTCAAAATTTTAAGAGTTTCTTACCGTAGATGTTCTAATATGTTATCTAGGGTTCTGAATTGCTGCGCCCAAATATTCTTATGATTATTATATTATTATAATACAAAAAAGAATGGTAGTATTTGATATAAATAATGGTTCTATATTTGAATCATGAGAACCATTGAAGCTTAGATATTGCAATAGTTGTTGTATTTGATCAGTTTTTTTAATATTCACTGACTCATATCTAAGACTTGATATATATTTA